GATGTATTTAAGCCAATGAATGCCCTCATCACAGTCAAGATAGTGTGGCTGGGTGCGGTGGCTCACGCCTACATTCCTAGAACTTGAGGAGGCTGAGGCCAGCTGTTTGCTTAAGCTCAGGAGTCTGTGACCATTCTGGCCAACATGGTGAAACCCCATCTCTACAAAAAAATACAAAAATTAGCTGGATGTGGTGGCGTATACCTGTAGTCCCAGCTTACATGGGAGGCTGAAGTGGAAGAATCATCTGAGCTTGGAAAGTTGAGGCTGCATTGAGCTATGATAACACCACTGCACTTTAGTCTGGGCAACAGAGTGAGACCCTGTCAGAAAAAGAAAAAAAAGATAGCGAACATATCTATTACCATATCCCTGAAATTTTTCTATACATCTGGAATATACAAATATTAGTATATTTTTCCTAGGTATAGATTTCTAGCTTGACAGTTTTTTTTTTCAGTATTTAAAAAGTGTTACACCTTGTCTTCTCATTTGCATTGTTTCTGATGAGAAATCTGCTATTGTCTTACCTTTTTCCCTTTCTATGTAGTGTGTTCTTTTTCCTCTGGCTGCTTTTGTGCATTTGATTGTGATGTGTCTTGGTACAGTTTTCTTCACGTTTCTTGTTCATCCAGTTCCTTGGATGCATGGGGTTTGTAGTTGTCATCACATTCAAAACATTTTTGGGCATTAGTTCTTCACGTATTTTCTGCCCCACTTCTCTCATTTGAGCACTCTAGTTACATGTGTTTGGGTGGTTGAAATTGTCACACAGCTTATTGATGCTCTCTTCATTTTTTAAATTATTTTTTTCTCTGTGTTTTGGATAGTTTCTTTTGCTATATCTTCAAGGTTACTAATCTTTTCCTTGTGGTATCTATTCTTTTGTTAATCTTCTGGTATAATTTTCATCTCACACATTTTATTAATAGATTTCATCTGAAGAAATTTAATTTGGATTGTTAAAAATATCTTCCATAATTCTACCTTTGGAATATATGGACTACAGTTAAAATTTTTAATGTCGTTGTTTCCTAATTCTAACATCTGTGTCAGCTTAGGGTTGGTTTTGACTCTTTGGCTTCTGAGTATACACATTCCCTTGGGCTTCTGAGAGGTTCAACTTCTGGGCTTCAGCCTCTTTATACTCATCTGGCGATTTTATTAACTTTTACAAATTTCACTTCTTACTTTGAGACAGATGGCTACCACATATGTCTCTTTTTTCTTACCCTATCCCTGAAACCTTGGTCATGATATTTCAAATAGTCTGTTGGACATCTTTTAGCTCATCAACAGCTCATAGTTACACTGTTTAAAACTGAGCTAGCTCTCTTTGATTTCTTCACTTAGGTATTGATAACACTATTCTCTTGTTATCGTTTTGGACCTCACCTTTATTTTAGCCCATAATTAATCCATTGTTATATTCTTTTACTTCTGTCTTTGAAATATTTTTTTATACCTGTCTTTTCCTGTGGCTACCATACTTTGTTAACTCTTTGTTATGGACTGAAATTTTACATATTCACAAAGTTTATATGTTGAATTTTTTTTTTTTTAAATTTTTTGAGTTGGAGTCTTGTTCTGTCACCCAGGCTGGAGTGCAGTGGTACGATCTTGGCTCACTGTAGCTTTCACCTCCCAAGTTCAAATGATCCTCCTGCCTCACCCTCCTGAGTAGCTGGGTTTTCAAGTGCCTGTCACCATGCCTGGCTAAGTTTTGCATTTTTAGTAAAGACTGGGTTTCACCGTGTTGGCCAGGCTGGTCTCAAACTTCTGACCTCCCAGAGTCCTGGGATTACAGGTGTGAGCCACTGTGCCTATCCTAAATTCCTAATCCTCAATATAATGATATTAGGAGGTAGGTCCTTTGGGAAGCAATTAGATCATGTCAGTAGAGCCCTGTGAATTGGATTAGTGCCATTATACAGAGAGACTTGAGAGCTGCTTATCTTTCTGCTCTCTGCCATATGAGGATACAGTGAGGAAATGCCCTTCAGGAGGCTGCCACCTTCGTCTTGGACTTCTTGGCCCCCAGAACTATGAGAATTAAGTGTTCGAGTGTTTGTTATTTAAGCCATTATGGTATATTTGTTATAGCAGCTCAAACTAAGGCATGTAGAAGATTACTGTCACTTTTATATTGGTCTTTTGCCTCCAGGCTCTTCTTCAAGTTCACTCATTGTACACTGCATCCTCGTTTCTATTCCTAAAGTTTAAGTCTCTTCTGTCATTTCTCTTGGCCAGTCCTTCAATAACTACCTCTTGCCTACAAAATACAAGTTGTTTAGCATCCTTCCATCCTTCCACATTGTGGTTGCATTGTTTTTTTCTTTCTTTTTTTTTTTTTGATCTTAATCTCTTGCTGTTTTGTTTCTTTGTGCCTCCTTTAGGAAGAATAGGGAGCAGTATCATACAGTGTTTACAAGTGGAGACTCTAGAATTAGAATGTCTAGGTTTGAATCTTGGCATTACAACTTAGTACAGTATTGGTTATTTTACTTCAGCTCACTAAGCATCAGGGTTCTCAGCTGTAAGATGGGCATCATATATAGCATATAGTAATAGTACTGTTTATAAAGTGCTTAGTACAGTATCTGGCATGTAGTAAAATTGCAGTAAGGATTAACTATTACTGTCGTTCATTTCTTCATGGCTCTCCTAGTTCCTTGTATATATTCATTTTCCTTTTTTTATATGGAGTTCCCCTCCTCCTTACCCTCCTATTCATTTGAAATCCTACCCATTGTGTAATATCCATGTCAGATGCCACCTTCCTCAGGTTCCCACACCATGAATTCTCATTTTTCATCAGCGTGGTTTTGTAATACTTTATCCTTAACTGTCTTATGTTAGTGTTTATGTACATGGTTATTTCCTCATGGGTTTTAAGCTTGTTGAAGGCAAGGACTGTATCTCTTACCTTCCATGGCATTTCATTTGGTACATGTTGCTTAATATTGGATTTGTGAATGAATTGTGGTTCTGCCTTACCCTGTTTATGAAGTGTTTGACCTAGAGTGAATTGCCTGTTAAATTAACTGTCTTTAAATTATAATCTTCCTAGTTTCTAATGTTTTTAGATTGTCAAATTATATCTTTTCAACCTTAACAGAGTAGTCAGGCACAGTAATGCTACATTTTCTTTCTGGTTATAATTGCTAGTTTGTTTTTGAGCATTAATTAGAGTTCTCTGATGAAGTATACTTATTCTGCTTAATACCAAAATAAAATTTCAATAAGGTGTCATTTTTCTGTCACTGAACCCCTTGTGGGCCAGAAAGACAAGTAATTTCTATTATACCAGTGTATTAAACTTAGCACATGTAAAATGATGTTGCACAGAAATGATACCCACATTTAATGGAAGTGGTAGAGTCAGTCATCAAGTTAAAGGAATTAAATATGTTTCTAACCCAAGAAGACCTCTAGTTCTTAAGTATTAGGGCTTCGAATAATTTGCTTTTAACAAATCTCATTCCATTCAGATTAAGTTCAGAGAACAGCAGATTAAGTTCAGTTGAGAGGACATGAAACTTAAAAGGGTGACTGTGATTAGTTGTGGCACTACACAATTTTAAAACTGGAGTTCTTGAAAGAAAAAAAATAATGCTGGGAAATGAAAGGTCAAGGAGAGTTATTTCTCTTTTCCCTCGCTAGACTCTGAGCTTTTAAAGGACAGTGACCATACATTGCTTGTGTCTATCTCTGAGCTCTGTCATAGTATTTCATGTAGTGAATATTTGTTGAGTAGAGTTCTCAATCTAGAAAGTGAAAAATTGCATCTCATGTTATTTCCATGGTAATGTAAAGCCTCCCTACTCTGTAATGCGTTACTTTGATTCGTATGCCCACAGTGTAATTTTAAAAAGTCTTATATAAAAAAGAAAATAAATAAAACCTGTATAGTTTTTAAGGCTTTTTTTTTTTTTTTTTTTTTTTTTAAATGACAGCCTGGTCAACATGGTGAAACCCCGTCTCTACTAAAAGTACAAAAATTAGCTGGGGGTGGTGGCGCATGTCTGTGATCTCATCTACTCCGGAGGCTAAGGCACGAGAATTGCTGGAACACAATAGGCAGAGGCTGCAGTGAGCCAAGATTGCATCACTGGCCTTTAGCCTGGGTGACAGTGCGAGATTCCATCTTAAAATAAATAAATAAATACATAATAAAGTAAGGAAGTCTCTTTTTTCTGAAAGTTCAGAGTTGTTAGACCAAGGTCCTGATACTGTTACACTTGCCCTTTAAAGTCTGTGGAAGTATCTCCCCTTTCTCCCCCAGACCACCTTTATAAACTGGTGATTTCCATTCTCCTGGGTTTAACATCTTTTGAGATTTTTTTTTTTTGGTACCTTTGGAGTTGGTGGTTTCTATAACTGTGGGATTGGGAAGATAAAAAGCTTTTCCATTCTTAGAGCTGGTCCATGACATAGGTCTTATTGAATACTTTCTGTCTTATATACATTATTAAGGGAGATAATATAGAATACTTAACATCGTAGGTGAATTACATATTAGGTGTTTTAAAAATAACATTATTGAATTTATTGTTAGAAATGGTAAATGAATGTTATACAGGTACAAAGCAAGGAAAATCTTAAAATTTTGTGAATATGCCACAGAAAACTAAATAATTAGAAGTTAGTCTGCCTGCACAATGTTGATACCTTTAAATGTGGTTAGGTCCATTAGTTTAAAATTAGCCTTTTAAAAGTTAGTGGGGTTTTAAAAAAATTAGATGTATTATCATTTTATTTATTTTTGAGATAAGATCTCAGTGTGTTGCCCAGGCTATTCTTAAATTCCTGGGCTTGAGCAGTCCTCCTGCTTCAGCCTCCCAAGTAGCTGGGATTATAGGTGTGCACCACTGTGCCTGGTTCCTAAAAGTTTCTTTTATTAAAAAAAATCTGAGTAACAGTTGACTTACTAATATTAAATGAATGTTTGCATTAAAAAATGTTATTTGCCTCTGTTGAAAATAATGTATTGAAATCAGTGTGTTCTAGGTCAGTGGCTTCTAAGACTCCAGTTGGATTCATTGGACTGGGCAACATGGGGAATCCAATGGCAAAAAATCTCATGAAACATGGCTATCCACTTATTATTTATGATGTGTTTCCTGATGCCTGCAAAGAGTTTCAAGATGCAGGTGAACAGGTAAGACCTTTCCTTTAGATTTGTTTTAGATTTTGAGAATTGAAAATGAATATACATTCAAATAAGTGACAGCTTCTTAGAAAGAAGTATACCCAATGGAGTTGTAAACCTAATTCATTGTTGTGTGTGTGTGTGTAAACATTCATCTGACATCCAGAAGAGTTCTCATCAGACATTCAGGGATATCTATTCTTTGGCAGATAACTTGGAACATTTTACAAGTTTAGTCAGAGGGCCTTGCTTTAGCTCTAAATCAGTTTCTGAGATAGTAACTTTACTGATTGTGCTGTTAAAGTAGTTAGTTTGGTGGAAATAACCTCCTATGTTATTAAAAGAATAATTGTCTTTAAAACAAGAGTAGGCTTAGAGATATAAAGGCTAGTTTGAGTTCCAGCTCAGATGGTTCACATGCTGTCTTGCTGGGAGCAAGTTACATCACCTTTGCTGATTTCCTCATCCTTAAAATGTGAATGATGACAACCTATGCCATTAGATTGTGAAGCTCAAGTAACAGAATGTATGTGAACATACTTTGTAAACATCATATGGCAGTGGCCATAAACCAGGAGACAACCAAAAACACTATGTCCTATAATGAAGAGTTGACTTATAGTGGATCTCTAGTGTTTTGTTTTTAGGCTATCATTCACATTTAAAGAATTTTGGTACTAGAGTTTATCATGCTGGATGATAGCGTCTTCTGGTTAAGTCTTGAGTTGTTTGGATTTGTTCAACTTTATCTGTAACTCAAATTACAGGAGCCATGTATCAGTATCTGAATATGGAGTTTTTTTTTGAGATATGAGGGAAATTCTTGCTGGTCAAGTTGTAGAGTGGTAACAGGATAGAATGTGATCCCAGAACGGAGAATACTGAAAAATTCCTGAGAAAAAATTTCACAGTCAACTTCTAGAAAATAGACTTGAAAGTAAATTCTGAGAAATGCTATACCTAGATACAAAATAGGTTTAGTTAACTTACAGAAAGGCTGTTTTCAGAACTAGATGTCTGAATCTTTTTTCCTTTCTGTGGTTTTTATGTCATATGGAAATTGCAGCAGTATTTCGTGAGAATGGAAGTATGACTTTGGAATTTTCAGGGTAATGTTGTGGCTGCCGATGCCTATTTCATTTCTGAATACTGATGCTATACTCCCAGTACAGCAGGCTGGACAACAGAGGGAGACTCTGTCTCGGAAAAAAAAAATTAGCTGGGTATGGTTGTGTGTGCCTGTAGTCCCAGCTACTTAGGAAGCTGAGGTGGGAGGATTGCTTGTGCCCAGGAGGTTGGGGCTGCAGTGAGCTGTACACTCCAGCCTGGGTGACGGAGTGAGACCTTGTCTAAAAAAAGGATTTGGTACTGTCTGTGGTTTCAGGCATCCGCTGGGAGTCTTGGAATGTATACCTCTCAGAGGAGAGGTTACTACTGTACAGTGAATAAATAGTAAGAGCCAGTGTCTGTCTTTGACTTTGGAGTTTTGGTTTTTTAAATTACTTGATATATAGTCACTAATGAGTGAAATTAACGTGAAAGACATTTTTGAGGGAGAGAGAGAGAGAGAGAGAAAGAGAGAGAGTGTGTGTGTGTGTGTGATCTCTGTTGATGATTCTGAAATGTAGCTACCTGTTAACTTATCTATAAACTAGATTGTTGGAAAATAAAGTGCCTTGATCAGTCAAGCCACTGATCATTTGTCTCGCTTGCTTCTTCTCTTGTGTGGTTTTATACCTATGAATTATCAAATCATGCAAATATGTGATTCCAAACTGTGATAAGTCTAAAGAAAAAGTAAAAGGTCACAGTAGTTTTTAATAAAATATATGTTACATTAGGTGAGAGGGTGGGTAGGGGAATTCTTTCTAAAGACAAGACCTTTAGGCAGACAGCAAAAAGTAGGTAGGATTTATGCAGATTAAGAATGAGGACAAAGGAGCAATTTCCTCAAAAAGTAGAGCTTCAGTCTTTGGTAAAGACTTTTATCCTAGGTCAAGATACAGCTTGAGTGGCTACCATATGTGTGGTAGTTTACCTAATGCTGTTGGAGAATAAAACAAGTTGAGTTTGATGTGACAAGGTGTTGGGTATGTCTTAGGTGGCAAGACCAACAAATACTGCAAAGAAGCCCATCCCCCAACCCCTGCCACGATTGCAGAAATGCTGGCTAGTTGATTTCTAAAGTCAACTGAACTCAGTGAGAGATTTGCAGGGAGGAAAATCAGATGTTGTTTTGAAGAAGTGCTTTTCTTTTTTTGAAAGTAAAAACTGAGAATTTATTGTTTCATGTATTTGACGAGTTGGGGAGTGGTCTGGCCTCTGGCAGAGCTGAATTTAGTGATACAGATATTGCTAGATTCTTTTCTTTTTGCCTCTTGGGTCTGCTTTTCTCCATCAGGTTCCTCTCTCTCTTCAAGGTGCAAGATGGCCACCTGCAGTTCCAGGCAAAGAAGTGTTTTAGAATATTATGACCCTGGAGGCTTTTCTTCAAGCTTTAACTGGTAGTAGAACTATAGTCATGCACTTCATCAGGACATTTTGGTCATGGACTGTATACATAAAGGTGGTCCCATAGGATAACAGAGTATTTTTACTGTACTTTTTGTATGTATAGATATGTTAAGTAACAGTTGCATACAGTATTAAGTACAGTAACATTGCCATACAGGTTTATAGCCTAGAAGCAATAGGCTATACCTTGAAGGTCTGTACGTGCTCTCTCTGATGTTTGTACAACATGAAATCGCCTGTCAACCTTAAATAACAGTTCGGAAACTCTGATTAGGTATAGAGTTTATTTGAGCCCAAAAGGTGGAAAATGGCCACCTAGAAGCATAAATTCAAGTTGTCTTAAATATATACTATTGGCAGATGTTACAAGTGATTTTGTTTGTTTGAGACAGGGTCTCTCTCTGTCACCCAGGTTGGAATGCAATAGCGCGATCATGGCTCACTGCAGCCTCAACCTCCCAGACTCAAGTGATTTTCTGAGGCAGGTGGATCACTTGAGGTCAGGAGTTCAAGGCCAGCCTGGCCAACATGGTGAAACCCCGTCTCTACTAAAAATGTTTAAAATATTAGCCGAGTGAGGTGGCGTGCACCTGTAATTCCAGCTACTCAGGCGGCTAAGGTGGGAGAATCACTTGAACCCGGGAGGTAGAGGTTGCAGTAAGCTGAGATTGCCACCACTGCACTCTAGCCTGAGTGACAGAGTGAGACTCTGTATAAAAAAAAAAAGAAATGTAATAAAAACCATGAGACACACCCCACTAGAATCTAGATTAAAAAGTCACCAACAAAATGTGAGGTTGTAGAAAAATTGGAGCCCTCATACACTGCTAGTGGAAATGTAAAATGGTACAGCCACTTTGGAAGAGTTTGGGAGTTTCTCAGACAGTTAAATATTAGAATTATGCCTTGACCCAGCAATTTCACACCTAGGTATATGCTCAAGAGAAACAAAAAATTTGTATCCCCACAGAAACTTGTATATAGCAATTTTATTCATAATAGTGAAAAAGTGGAAACAACCCAAAAATCTCGGAATGGAATGGCTAAACAAAATGTGTTATATCTATACAATGGATGATTATTCAGTAATAAAAAGAAATGAAATACTGATATTACTACTAATAAAAATAAATGAAATCCTAATATTTTATTTTTAGTAATAAAAATAAATGAAATACTAATATTAATACTAATACAACATTGATGAACCTTGAAAGCATGTTGCGTGAAGGAAGCCAGTCACAAAAGACCACATACTATAGACATTGAAAGTCTATAATAGGGAAGTCTATATAGAGACACAAAGTAGATTAGTCATTGCTTAGCACTGGGGAAGAGAGAGTTGGGCATAGAGGAATGATAGCTAATGGATATAAGGTTTTTTTTTTGAAAAGGTTCTAAAATTGATTGTCATGGTTGCATATATCTATGAATATGCTAACAGGGCCTTGCTTTGGTACACTTTAAATGGGTGAATTATATGCGAATTATATGTCAATAAAGGTATTTAAGAAGATATATTCAAGTTCTTACTCCTAATACCTGTGGATGTGGACCTTTTTGGAAGCGGGGTCTTTGAAGATCTAAGTAACTTAAGATGAGATCATCCTGGATTTAGGCCGGACCCTAAAGCTAATGACAAGTGTCCTTACAAGAGACAGAAAAGAAGACACAGAGACACGGGAAGGCCATGTGAAGATGGAGGCGGACATTAGTTTTGCTGCTGCCAGCCAAGGACTATCAGAGCCATCAGCAGCTGTAAAAGGCAAAGATGGATCCTCCCTTAGAGCCTTTGTGGGGAGCTTGTCTCTGTTGACAGCTTGATTTCAGACTTTTGGCCTCCAGAGTTGTGACAGAGTCAGTTTCTGTTGTTTTAAGCAACTGTGTTTGTGGTAACTTGTTGCAGCAGCCGTGGAAAACTCATGAGCAAGCATTGGGAATCTACAAAATGTGTAGGATTTGAATCTTTCTTTACCACTTAGTATATGTGCAACCTTGGGCAAGTTTTTCAGTGTCTCTATACCCTTGTTTCCACATATGTGAAGAATAATCATACTGTTTTCATAGAGTTGTTAAAGGGATTAAATGAGTTAATTATGTGTAGGACTTAAAACACTATTTGGCACATACTAAACACTGTATGTTAATGTTAGCTATAAATTAGTTTCTATCTGCCTTAGTTTTACCTCTGCTGTACACAGCTGTTCGTCTTCTCATGCTCTCCATTCAGATGGTAGATTCAGATATTCTCTTCTTCTTTGTGAAGAAAAGTTACTTTTTATTACTTAAATCACTATGGGTTAAGTCTACCGTAGGTTACCTTAGCAAAACAGGGGATAGGACCTTTATTAAGTTCACTAATTAAACAGATGTTTCTTGAGAACTTTGTATGTGCCAGGTACTGGGAATATAGCTCAGAACAAGATAGTCACAGTCCTTGCCTTTAGGGAGTGGTGGCAGTCTTGGCTCACTGCAACCTCTGTCTCCCAGGTTCA